TCAGAACCATCTTCCCCCTTGCCCCTGAACCGAGATGATGGGTAGTCATTACAACAGGGTGGTTAATCAGCGCCCCGTATGGAGCCATTTCATTGTACAGCGCTTTGATAACTCCGGAAATTATTACACCTTCCATTGTCTGCATTTTGAGGCATTGTTGTCATCACCCATCATATCACCATCAGAGCCAATCCCCTCTTCATCTCAAGGGGCGCCACACAGCCATTTTATACATGATTGATTGTTACAATATTCCCCCTCCATAATGGTCACGTCAACTTCCATCATTGGGCGACCCTTTACAGTTAATAAAGGGTCCAGGGCCCCAGCCAGAGTATTTTAGTCCCTCTGTCGTTTTCGTGCGGATCCTTTTTTTATGATATGGCCGACGCAGGTAAGTGGGTCAGTGGTTTTAGGGTTCAGGGTCTCCGGAAACAAGATGGGATCCACACGAAAGGATAGAGCGACCACTATCATGCCGTCCACAGCGTCGCATCAAACGCTATCTGATGTGACAAGCACTATCGTGATAGTGGTCGTCGCGCCGTGCCGGGTTCATGCCGGTCTACCCATCAGGCCAGACAGTCCATGACCGGGACCGGTCACTCAACTAGTGAGTTCTATCCACTTGCTGCCACATCCTCCCAGCCGTACATACCCACACCGATGGGCAGCTGTCACAAATTGTGGATGAGGTACTGCCTACCACAGACCAGTACTGATCTGACCAGCGCGTATTTTTGTGGGCGACACCTGCTGTTGAGCCAAGCGGGCCTTGCAAGGTGCTCCGGACCCTGAGGAGCGGGGCTTGCCTGGGTCGCCGTTTCTTGGAGCCCTCTATTACGGGGGCGACGGAAGGGAATATGCCTTGCACGCCATCGCCAATGGGGCAGTTTTTGCAGATGCGCACATTTGCCCCCGCACTTCACTCCTGCTTGCCAGGAAGCATGGAAAAGGCGCACATAGGCCTCAGGGCTCGGCCAGAGGGTAGGCGTGTCCATAAGCGGTGGGCATCCGCAACGGAGGTCTGCCCGCACCTTAGAGAGGTCCCGACACCCGTGACAGCTGACACCAGTGACACCTTACCCCGCACCTTCCGTGGCATCCAGGAACTTCCATTGCCGCCAGGTGGGCGCATGTGCCAAAAGAACTGCCATCAGATCTCCCTTTTGCATCTGTTGGTATCATTTCTCAATCTGACGCGCTGAGCCGCTGTCATGATGTGGATGAGATTTTGACGCGATCCTGGGGATGCCGCCGCGGCAGCGTATCGACTTCATGGGCATCCAAGAGCGGTAGTGTCCAAATCAGGGTGTCACACGGATCGCCATATATTTCTTAGCGTCCTTCGATAAAATATTCGCAGCGCGATGTGCCGGTTGTCCTGCCGTCGGGGTGTTCTTCCTTGATTATGCTGGTTCTGCATTGTCGCGGTACATGCGCTGTACGCCTGTCGTTTGCTGGCAGCTACGCAAGAGGTGTTATTGAATCGGCCAATAACTGGTTGTAAGGAGGACTGCTCGCCGCACAGATGGCGTTATCCCTGAAGGATCCAACTGCAGCGCAGAGTGCATTATTGCCTGCAGTGTCCCATAGCTTTGCAGGTTGAACCATTGGAGGAAACAACCACACGTGACAAAAAGCAAAGTCTCTGACGTACGGGCAATTATCTTCATTGTGGTGCAAAATATGGAAAAGGCAAACAACAGGCTCATTGAGCCCTAGTTGGTACTCCCACCTTGGCATGTGCATATCCATGGAATTATGTCCCTGATGGCGTTGCAGGTGCAAGGATAGTGTGTGCCCTTTCTTTCAGGTGGTATTGAATTGGTTGGCCTATTTCAGTCGGTTAAAGGCTAGACGAGGCCAGTGCACACATACTTTGGCTGTCAGGATTCCTGTCAAGGTGTTAGGACCCTTCCATGACCAAGAACTTGCAATTAGGCCATTGAACTGCTGAAACCATGGTGTTTACAGAAATCGTGGACGTCGCTGATGTAGCCATGAAAGTGGCAGAAGTTCCCCTATGCTCATTGCTATTTGATATGTGGCTCGTCTGCATAGCTGAAACATGAAACCAATGGCACACACAGTGTCATTTCTCTTAGTTGTGTCTTTTCCTGGCTGCAAACACTGTTGAATGAAATCAGGGACATCACAGTTCTCATCGAATTCCTGATGTCGAGCGATCCTTCATAGCCTCTGAAGAGAGAACGCAGTGTTGTGCCTGGTTGAGAAGTGGGCACAAACCGGGACAGCAACAATCAAAGGATGATGATTGATTTTCACCACCAGCACAACAATGGATCAACGAAAAGTCAGTCATATTTTACTTTCCAACGTGTTGCAGTACATTGAACACTCTTGGACTTGGCATCACGGGATTCTCAAAACAATAGAAGACCTTGCAAGCGAGAACTTGAAGATCACAAGCAAAGCACTTCTGCACCCATCGCTAGTGAGTGTTACGGGACGAAGTTCCCAGAAATTTGCAAGACTATCATTTTCACTTGAAAGGCTGAGTGGCTGAATACACGATGCCTGCTGGAGTCTCCCCAAGTTTTTTGTGACGAGTAGCCAGCAGCGGGATCGCTCTCTCCCTCAACATATGTGAGCTGTGGTACTGTTGTGCATTCCTGTGCTTGTCAGAATGCATTGCAGCACATTTCGTGTAGTACGCATGTGCACAAGCGTATTGCTTCTGAGGCTACAGACTGGAAATTCCAATCGATGTCGCAATAGCGCATCTTTTGCCAGCGTTTCATATACCTGCTGCTGTGAAGTGGTGCATAATTCATTGCTAAAAATATTTTACTGCTGCTGTACAGGAGATGGCAGTTTGCCGCTCATTGGTGGGACGTTCGAGTTTTTGGCGAACCAGGATGATTTTGTTTCCGATCGTGTGAGAAAATTTGGTCATGTTGTGGCGACTTCACTGTTAGGAAAGAAAGCTGTTGTTGTTGCTGGCAGGAACTTCCTGGAGCAGGTGAGGACATCAAATCTCGCTGCAACAGTGGCGTATGTTTCAGAAATAATAAATTCTTGAATAAGGAAGTAGTTCCATCTTATGAAACATTGAACAGGAAATGAATCAGCTTGAAAGCAGATAGGTTTACCTCAAACACACTTGCAAAATCAATGGCAGATATTGGAGCATTTCTTGTGCTGATGTTAATGAAAAACAGGGTCTAAGGTTACTGCCCTCTGCGCCGTTGTCATATCATATCATTATCATATATAGCTATTAGTATAACCTCCTTTCTCTTTTGTGGCTTGTTTGCTATCTGTATCATTTTTTGACTGAAGCTGCCAATTTCACTGTGCGCGGTGCAGATCATGAGCAAAGAGACTGGTCTGCTGGTTCAGGGCTTTGGCAACGATTTCGTTCAGCTCTTAGGACCATCCTCTTTGCTGCATCAGGATGGTAGGTGTCATCCCTCACGGGCTAATCCCACATTGTCTGGAGCATTTTGTGAATGGTCACGGGATGCTGCATACCTGTGCTCTTAGAAAATTCAATAGCGCAGCTAGTGATTCGAAAGCAGTGATTGATGCACTGCTTTGTAAATAAATGTCCTCTATATTTTCCGATACTCTCAGATTGAGTGGGCTACTTCTTGGCTTAGATTTGCTTAACAGCTGTGAAAACATCGACATTTTTCATTTTACTGCTCCATTCTTCTTCTCCTTTCCTCTATCTAGAAGCATGCCCCGAATTCGTGTGGTCACTGCTGATGCAGCAATCTTGATGTGACAAACATGCACACTACCCTGCAAAGCAATTCTTAGGCCAACAGAAGAAATAATGCATTCCAGCTCATGCACCTAGCGCCCATCTACTGCAGCTCGTGAATTTTTGGTATGCCATAGAATTCCCATTCCACTTTCCGCCTTTATCAAGGGTACGGCTCTTAATGTGTGCTCCTAGCCAATCATTTGTCAGGCGTCTGGGTTGCAGAGAGCGAGAAGCGTCCTTGGTGGGGGATGGTTCGCCCTCTATTGAGGTCACAGCCTAGCAAGGAGATGGGTCCTTATCGCCAAACACATCTGCTAGTTGTGTTCATGTGGGATTTACGCACGATTGTGTGGAGCTCCGCACCAGTTCACAAGCATTGCACCTGACCTCTGCAGCGCAGCTCGCTCTCCACGTCAATGCAGACTGGTCAGGCAGCATTATTACACAAACTTGGGTTACCACACATTGCATCCTAAAAACCCAATTTGGCAAAGAAAATTTTTCTAAAACTGCAGTAACTTCAATTCTCGTTGCAGGGCACTACCATGAAATTCTGTCCCTGTTTGTGGTTAAACACCCATGCGCCCAATTGGGTGGAAGGCTGAATCATTTATGTATCGAGTCTTGCACCAGTTTACCCAAATAACTTTTGGCTGGAAAAAAGTAGTTATGCCGGTGTAATGCCGGTTTTGAGTCTATGGCACTTGGCACTGTCTATGGTTTGGATCCCTCCATAACTTGTATCGACGAACATGCGCCAATTAACTGTAATCACACTGATGGCGCGACTGGAGGGCCAGAATCAAATGGAAATGGTTACATTGGGATCAAGTCCATGGGAAATGCGACATAGAATGTATGAACTGACTGTTCAACCATGAACGGATGAACTGTTGAGCAATTCCAATTCATAATATGCGTTGAAAAACGCTGCATCCACTGAATATACATATCAATGTGGGCTCCCATATCCTGGATATGGCCATATCTTTGCTCATATCCTTGCAACATCCAGTATATGGAGTGTCCACATCCGGGTTACGGCGTATCTTGGATATGCATACCTGGGATATGGTCGCGGCCCCTCGCCCCTCCATCCGAAAAAAGGAAAACATAATCCCACATCCAGTCGCGCAACTGAATTCGTTGAGTTCAGGCTGTGTTGTTGTATTCATGATCCTTTATCCATTCACGGCTGTCTGCAAGCTGTTTCAGTTGTAGAATTGAGTAATAATTGAATAATTGAATAATAGGTGAGAGGCACATGGGATTGAAGAAACTAATAATCCCGGCGCTGGCGAAAAGAAGCTTGAAGAACTACATTCCACGAATCACGGAGATAGCAGAGAATGCGCTGGATGACTGGGTGGACAAGGAGTCCATTGTGTTTGTGGAAGAGGTGTGTGCATTTTGATCATACCGCAATATAATATCGTATATTGGAAAATTCGGATTCCAAGTCAGAGGTGCCAAAAAGTTGTTGCGAACACGGAATTTGATCAGTTTCACAAATGCGTGTTGCCTGTTAACGCTAAATACTTGAGTGTAGTTCCAACAGGTGGATATTTCACTGTGTTTTAGCTGATAATTAGATCGCAAGAAAGGCAGCTGAAGTCTCTTTATATTGGCGTACTTGGCGTTAAAATTGAATTGTGTAGTGCGACCGGGATGCCACAGTCCGTTTTCCACAACAACATTCCGTGTGTGGTCCCCAAGTCCAGCGTGTCAGCTCAAGTGTGTGTTGAATGCCCTAATGTGTTGTGCCTTGAATGCGAAATCTTCCAGAATTCAAATTTGCTTGTTCCATGCTTGGCATATCATCCTGGTGACACCAGGATCTGAGTTTCCCCGAATTTCAATAAGCTAAATCTAATTGCTGAGAATTTCCTCTTACGTCCTTCTCCCTCTTCCTGTCCCCATGCCACAGCACATGGAGCAGGCAATAATATCACTGTTGGCCTTGCGAGGAGTATGTATTCCTTGTTGCGCTGCCATCTCCCCAGTGGCATCGGTAGGAAGTCCCATATCCTGGATGTGAAATAGAATATGGGAATTCCGTGTCCTAGATGTCGATTAGGATGTGGACACCAGGTCCTCGATATGAAAGCTCCATATCATGGATATAGAGCATGGATGCCGGGATATGGATCCATATCTAGGATACAAAACTTTCTTTCTACGAGGATATTGTGGCGTGCGTTTGCATGCGTTTGCACTCTTGCTTCTCTCCCTTGTCCAGCCTCCCAGCTGGACTCTCCATTATGGTGCATATCACCGCTGGTGCATGCTTTGGGAAACTTGTCTTTGAAGATCAGGAATTCTGGGCGCCAGTTCTGTCGAATTGCTCAAGTGGACGGACTGACAGGCTGCTTCTTTTTGGGAGGGACTTAGTCCCTTGTTCTTCCCCATTAGATGAGCTGCGCCATGCTTGGCCTTCTTTTGGTGCTGATGAACATGCTCGCTTGGCGAAATTGGGGGAGGGATTTGCCCATGAATGATTGGAGCACAATGAGACATTGGTTGCTGCTGCACCGTCTCTGCAGGTGGGAGGGGCTTGTTATTTCGTTTGCTTTGATATGTGGAGACCATAGAATCCGTACAAAAGCGTATGAAAATGATCTAGGTGGCCCTGCGCAGCTCTCTCAGAATCTGAAACTGATAGTTGTCCCTTGCAGGCCCAAGTTCTCTTCTCCACCTTCATCGCAGAAGCGGTGGTGGGCATGAGTTTCCCTTTGGGACCTTGGGCAAGGAAGGACGTCTACGCAGCTCTTAAGAGCCTCGGCCATGGGTTGTTCTCATTTGGTATCAACATGCCTTTCACCAAGTTTGGAAAGGCTATGGCTGCAAGAGAGTCTCTCCTGGGGATGATACGCCTGGTGAGACGATGAGAGGCTTGACAGCTGTGGCATTGCAGCGATCTCATTGATGTCCATTTTTGATGAAGATTTTCTTGCACTGTGTGTGTACACTGCTTCTTGGCAGTATTGTACTTGAATTGCACAGTGAGCTTGCGCTTCTTTTATGTATTGAACCATGCAAAAGCAGCGCCAAAATTATTCATGAAAATCTGTTGATTATTTTCTCAATCAATTCTTCAGATTGCAATGAACTAGGCAACAATTTCCGCCAATTTTCATCTGAATTTAGCCAGTGCCTGTTCCCCCATGTAGGAATCGTACTTCTCGAAAATGTTCTCTCATGAATTGCGCGTATCTGTAAGTCACGTCAAGTTTATGTGTCCTGCATCTTTATCTGCTTCATGCACAACTATCAAATATGGTTGCACCAGGTGATTTTCAGTACTTAGAGATTGGATATGGTGTCCTATTACAAACTCTCGCTATTTGCAAATGTATTCTATCTTCCACCTGTGACCAGGGTGTACAAAATTTCCGAGGCTTGTCAAGAGGTATGAAGTCTCTGCCAGTCTGACTGGAGTGTGACTGTGCTTCAGGCGATTGAGCGCTTCAGACAAAACCCTGATGAAAATAGTGCGTTGCACGCATTGATAAACGCCCGTGACGAAGATGGGAAAGGCTTGAATGACAATGAGCTGGAAGACACCATCCTCACGCTGATTTACGCAGGCATCGACTCGAGCTCATTAGTGTCGTCAGTGGCAATTCAAAACATGACGAATCGTCCCGAGGTGCATCTCATGCCGGCAGTTGGTTGTGAAGTGCTGTGCAGACCTCACTTCACCAATGTGAATTAACACTACGATGTTGTGTGTCGCTGTCTCAAATGTGCGAAATGCCAATTCTTGAAGTGCATTGGAACATTATCATAATACCTTCTGATAATTCCTCCTCGCTCACGAATTGCACAAGAGTTGCGCATCTGGACACGTTATTACGCCCGTGCCTGTGGAGAAGCTGCTGATGAGATCTCTGGTGGATTCTTTCTGAATGCATAACACTCTTTGGCACACACGATTTATTGGTTGGATAAATTACCAACGCACGCTGTGGCACAAGTTCCCAGTACGATGTCACCTATATGAATTACATGTTTAGAAGCACTACGATTGCAAGGAAGTCCCCCAGCTGCCACAGGATGTCAACGTCTCGGTAGTGCTTCTGTAACAGATAACAAGAGTTAGTTAAAATTATCGAGCTGGGCGTAAACGCTGGGAAACAAAGGCGGGATATTTGTTTGATAACTGGAGTCCACCTGGTAGGTGGTCGTGCCCAACATGAGAGTGAACTCACAACAGCAGCAGGCAGGCCACGCATAGCAAACGCCTAGAAATTCGTGCATCCCGATCTGGTCGTCCAGGTGCCCCGCAGGCCCAAGCAACATAGGGGTTGTACACAGCCTGCGGCTGACACCTCGGCTAATGTCCATCAAATGGAACGAGTGCACTGCACTCCATATGACATGGTGGTTAAAGAAATCGAATGCCCAGCGATCTTCAAATCTCCATCCTTCTAACATGGCTTTGCTACAAAATCTGGCAAGACGAGACCCTGCTTTCACATGTACTTACTTGTATTACAGCAGCATGCTTCATTTTGACAATTGTCCAAGCGAAGTTTGTCAGCACATTTAACACACTTTTTGAAGAGTAGGAACAAGTTTGACATGATTCTACAATGAGGACATCCAGAAAATGTCTGGCGACCGGCATTCACCCCTTCATGTTCTCACTCAGGTGTGGAAGAAGGTGCAGAAAGAGCAAGACGACATCATTGCCAAGTACGGACCTGAGATGTCGGAAGAAGCCCTTGAGGCCATGTCTTACACCATGGCTGTCTTCAGGGAGTCTGCACGCCTTCTAGCAGTTCCTGCTGCCTTCAGGGTGGCAACCAGAGATTTTGAGCTTGGGGGCTACAAAATTCCCAAGGGCTGGACAGTGATCGTTGCGACAGGGGGGACCGCACATCATTTCGATGATGAATGGAATGCAGACGAGGAATTTCGACCAGAGAGGCTCCTGCCTGACACCGACTTCCACGTGGTTCACGACCTGTCGTTTGGGCTTGGGGGCCACACGTGCCCCGGAAAGAATCTGTCAATAATGGAAGGCACAATCATGCTGGCGGTCTTTGCGAGGACTTTCGATTTCAAACTTGCCAAGAAAAAGGCCAGACTCACTTTCGACCCTTTTCCTTTCCCGGAGGGTCGCCAGGCATTGCTGGTGAGAAGGCACAAGTGAGGTTACACGCAGATCAGTGGCTCAACGATCGCCGAGCAAAAGCTGATGGGCTGAAAGTCGGTTGCCAACAGATTGCATCGCTCATTGATCGGGACATGCATGGGTGCGTCGCACCATTCTCGTCTATCTGCTCGCTCTCCAATTTCATCAATTGTGATCGGTTTGTACATTACGTGATCCACCAACGCGTTTATGCCACATTCGACAGCTTTCGGCATTCACATGTTAAGCATCTCGCACGACGGATAATTCCTTGGCGAGTGTTGTAGACTATAGGATCCACCTTCGTGTTCGCTTCACACATGCTAGCTCTGGGTATTGATACGATAAACAGATTGCTGGAGGGGTAGTTGCAGGTGAACGATGTGGATGTGTTGCGCATGATGTTAGTCATCATCCTCATCATCATTTTTTACAGAACAAGGCGATGATGTCAGTCGCTGTGATGCTTTGAAGGGATGACTCTGATCCTCTGCTGGATGTTTGACATATGATTCCTCTACTCACCACCAGAACGTCTCCTTGGTGTGTAATTTGATGTAACATTGCGATTGGCTGCATGAGGAGTTGAAGCCTACACCATTTTCATTCGCTGGTATGGCTGCATGAATGAAAGCAGAATTCGGGCTTCGCTGATTGTCTCAAATTCATTGCCCCGGCATCCCACAATGCTTGCTTGCAGGTTCAAGCAAGAAGTTGAAATATTTCCGGGCCAAGAAGCATCGCACAAAGACGTCTTAAAAACGCATTGAAAACACATGTGCTGCGAGGGGTATGGCGACTTCGTCAAAATCGTGTGGGGGGTCACAATGGAATATTGTGTGATGAACATGTTACCACGCTTAGTTCAGCCTCGTGACAAATACGTAGTGAAATTTCGCTGTTGAACGACATTCTAAGAGTGCTGAGACGATCGTGATTTGCGATGAGTCGCCAGAGCCTTCTATCCACTAAAACCAAATGCGAAGACCCTGCCATAAGTCAGCAGCCATCGATTTGCGGTCCATCGATTGGCCAGTTCTGAGCTCGAGGTCGCACGTTGGCAGAACTCGGGCAAAGAGTTTCAACAGCACAGTTTCGCGAGGGGTAACAGAACGTGAGCTGCCTCGTCTTGTCTGACCTGCTGCCCTCTCGGCTTCAATGTTGAGGCAGTACTGGCATTGTGGAGAAATTTTGCCGTGGCACAGGCGCCATGCAGTTATGGGCCACATACTCTAACCCGCAAGTCTTAGGCCATTACTGGACCTATAGCCTGCTGTAGAAACACTGGTATTGAGTCAACAGGCCTGCATGATGTCCCAAAGGAAGTAAGCATGGTCGATGTTGTAGAAATAGAATAGACTGTCCTGTTATTGGGTCTCTACCGAAGTCGATGTTGGGTTGGCGCGCCGAGGCATGTCTCAGGCAGGGTGTGCTTCCGCTTTCTGGCACACCTGTACCTTGGGTCAGTGTGATGCTGGAAACGTAGTAGGGTCAGTGAATTTAGCGGCCTTGGGTTGGCGTGATTTTCTGGGGATTGACTGAACGACTATTTAATGTACAATATGCTATTTACGTACCTGATTGGGTGCACTGGCTCAGATTGAGTCACGCTTGCTATGACGTAATGTACGGCAAAGCGGCTGGTCAGGTTGTGAAGTGGTTTGCCAAGGGTAATGTACGAAAATCGGTGAAGGATACCATGTACGATTGCGTGTAGTGTAATGCTTTGTCATGGGGGGAATACAAGGGGGGCATGGAAGAGGGAGGAGGGGAGGAGATGGGATCGGCAGAACTCTGTCTTTAACTCCTCTACAGTGAATTGTTGACCGCTGTGTACTCTGGTTTGGGTTCAGCCTCTGTTGGTCGATTGGTGTCATTACATCGCCAACATTGGCATGGGTTCATGGATCGCTGATGACACTTGCTGAATGGACGCCTTGCCATTATAGGGTTACAACCGTCGAGCACATTGAGCCCACACAACCAATTATTACACTGAAGCCCAAGGTCGCCCAATCCTGTTTATTGCCAGTCAACACTGTTCTCTCCCAGTCTCGGTTTGGCGACCAAAATCTCAACATTCCAATCAGATTGGAAACGCGAGCTCTCTGGAGAATTTTCCGCTGCCTCCTCATCGAATTGGTGGAGAGTGCTCAATAATGGCATATCAATGCTCTGACTTCTGCCCGCAGCCCCCTGACAGTCGCTACAGCCACAGCCTGATATTCAGGATAAGCCACAGGCAACCCATGTAGCACCCGATGAGGAGGCAGTGCAGGCCCACGAACCTCCCGGTCATGTGCTGGAGCCGTGACCTCCTGAATCGAGACCGGTTGATGTATTCTGTAGCCCACAAAGCATACGAAGGGACCAAAAGCCCAACCACAACTTGCTCCAAGACGAGCAGGGTCCTGCAGCAGACTGCCACCTCAGGTGCTGGGAGGTCCATGGGTGCGGCCGTGAACAGGTTGTGCACCACGCGCCAGGTGGTCGTTATGTAGTAACCGCTCTCGGGCGCACTTATGGCAACTGCACACATCCTGGGCGCCGCGACATACCCAAGGACCACCATCGTGGGGATCTGCACGGCGAGGTGATGCCTCGACAAAAGGGGTATGCCGAAAGTTACCATGATGAGCGGGACAACCCCTGAATTCAGGCCCAGGAAGCGAACGAGCGACCAAGGTGATGTCACTGGCTCCTTGAAGCTCGAGATGTCCAGAAAGATACCGGCGACAGTTGTTACCCGATCGAAAATCGTCAGCCTTATTCGCGCCGTCGAGCCCAATCGGGCGCCCATCACATGGTTGAAACAGTCTAAGCCCACCAAACCAACGCCGTGCACGAAGGTGGCAACTCCGACCCAAGAGAAATGCAGTTCGAAATACCGGGTCACGAGAAAGACGGGTACAATGACGAGTCTGATGAAGCGGAACAGCCGGCTCATCAGCTGGAAGTACAGAAGGAAGTAGGCTTCCCCGAACGCGGCTTCTTGGGCAGGGTCATGGAACCAGAGGGAGGTGAAGGGCAACATCCTCAAGGTTTCTGGGGTTAGCGTTGATGGTCCCACTAGACTGCCAGCCCCGGAATGCAGAAGGAAGCAAAAACTGACCCACCAGCCTGTCAATTCGAGGGCACAGTTTCCTTGCTTGGGTTCATCGGAGTCACGGCGGCACCAACCCCACACCCTCACCCCCTCCAGTGGCCATCAGCACCCGCCGGTGCATGCATATCTGCAAGGTGGCAGGCCTCCGTTAGCCCTCGAAACAGTGTGCTGTGGCACTCCGAAGGGCTGCCGCGGTCCTTGACGACCCGCGTGTGGTCCGCCCGTTCCGCCCCCTGCCCACCGGGACCGGTCGTTAGCCCGCAGGCCTGTTTCGGCGCCGGGTATCCGAAAAGATCATGGCATCCTGTCACGTACGCAGCAGATAAGGGCCAGCTCCGAGTCGCACATGGCAGTCTTCCAAGCGGACCAGCAGACGACGTATGCAACCACCGGAAGGACTCCGTGCTTTCAGACATTGTAGCTTTCAAACTACCAATTCCTCAAATCCAGGTGATCCTTGGCTTGTGCAGGCCAATGCGCAGAGCTTGGCCTTGCTGAAAGCTCCCGTCACGGGCGACTCATAGGCACAGTCTGAGCTGTTCCCGTGCACGTACATGACAAATCAGCACCCAGAAGCAATATTACATTTGACATTTCCGTATGCGGCGCGGCCCTTCGCCCTGTTTGTGGAACTGCGCACCAAGGCCACCCGAGAAACCTTCCCGCTCATTCGTACCGGGAATGCAAAAATAACGGGTGATGTTGGTCCAGCACAATGAAGAAGAATAATCCCGGCGGGACTGACGAAAAGTCTTTGAAACACGGAAATGCTAGGTCTACTGTGCTGGTGGCGCATTGTGCCCTTGAGCAAGCTTCCGCAAGGCTTCAACTTCACCGTCCTGCAAGGCATCACCGCAGCAAGGAAGGGTGCCCTATGCATCGCCTCGTGGCGTCCCCGGGCTGCCAGGTGGCGCCAGTGCAACGAGGAAGCTGCCAGAAGCAACGCCCGGCGGCATGCCCGGGCCGCCAAGCACCCAGTGGTGCATGCTTATTCGCACCTCCATGGACAGAAAAGGTGTCAGGAGGCCCCAGGGCAAGGGTGGGCCCCAGGCGCCTGCCTCCCCTGCGCGCTTCCGCCACAGATGCCCCATTGGCAGGGAGCGATAGTCTGGAAGACCCCAGTTCTCTGGAGGACCTGCCGCTTCCCAAAGGTGGGCGCCGACGAATGTGGACTAATCCAAGATCTAGACTTCCTGATCGTGGCTTGCGGCGGTGGAAAGCGAGCGGCAAGTGGAAGGGCTGGGTGGCGAGCTTCGATTTTTTCCCGATCGGGGCTATGGTTCGTAAGGCTTGTGTTGCGCGTGACGCCGGCACCCCAACCCCACGCCCCTCCCTGCGCCGGAGCATTCACGCTCGCCGGGGTGCAGGGGTGACGACCCATTCAGGCTGCGCCCTCAGACGTTGCAGACAGGTTGCTGTCCATCGACGGTAGCCCGTCGCCTTGGCGGCGTGGTCCTGGCCTTCAAGGGCCGGGAGGCGACAGGCGTCCAGAACCCCAGCCGGCACACGGGGGCGACGGACCATACCACACACAGCGCTGCTCTGGGCCTCAGCGCGTGTGTGACGGTCCCAGTGATGACTGAGCGGCTTTCAGTCGGGCAGGAGAGTCCAGTACGGACGGCGACTTCGACGTGAACATTATCCGTGCCGCCACCGCAAACAGGGGCCACATCCGCCGCCGTGCTTGCCGCGGGTGGGACCAGCCTCCCGGACGGCAAGCCGTCGATGCACAGAAGCACACCACGGCTTGCGCTGTACTGCCTGCCAGCAGAAGAATAACACAGGCCATTGAACCTTGGCCTCTCATGATCAGTCAGGCTCGCGTCGGCGGGAGACACCACGGCTCCAGTGGCATCTGTCGTTGATGCCCTAGAAAGTCGAGCCCATGAGTTTGCCTAGTATGGGTTTGTCTGCCAAGACTGGCAATGCCATACTGAACTCGAAATGCCTGCTTGCCGCAGCAGGGCCCTGTTAGCAACCGTTGCCAATCAAAATGACCGGGGTAGATTCACCGGCGTACGCATTAGTGCATGCTTTGGTCCTGAAGGCCGCCAGCTGTTTGCCACTCTTCTGCGGCAATCCACTTGAAACTGAAACCAGGGGTGTCGTAATAAATGAGCGGTCATTGCTGGCTGCAGGGGGGCCACTTTTGCCCATCATTGGAGATACCCTCAAGTTTCTGGAGAAGCACCACGACTTCATTCGTGACCAAGTGATAAAATACGGCCCTGTCAGCAGGACATCACTTCTTGGGCGGGATACTGCAGTCGTGGCTGGGAATGATTTGCTGCAGAAGGTAAGCAGGGAAACCCAGAGCTGGACTGAATTCTGCTTTGTAACTTACTGTGCACACCTTGAAATGAGTCAATGTGTGTAAACTATGAAAGGCACTAGTGACGCGTCATGTGTGCGGCTGTGCAGATTATGGTGGACAATCCTGACTTGTTGGTCCAGGGTGGTATTGAGGGCATCGTGACACTGATGGGTGAAACTTCTATTGAGCACATCGATGGTGAGAAACACACTGTGGTTTGGACTGCACTGAATTTTGTGTTGGGATATATTGCCTTCAATTACTCAACTTCGAACAAGCCATCAATTTGCTAGTTTCCTGGAGGACAGGACGCCTTTTTACCAGTGTTAGCATTCAAAGTTATTTGTTGCGTCCAGGGAAAGAGCACAAGATATTAAGGAGATTGCTTACACCCATATTCACAACTGCCGCGGTGAATTCCTACATTCCTCGGATCGCGAAGCTGGCTGAAGATCAGTGTAGAAAGTGGGAAAAGAAAAGTGACGGTCAGACTGTCAAGGAGGTGAGATTGTTCCTGTCGTTTGGCGAATGTTATCCATTGCATGCTGGCGCTGGGTGCTGCGTGCGGTGCTGCGCCTATAGCAATTTAGTATATGCTTTCGCCCCTTTAAGATTACATCTCAGCTTTTTTGTGTAGCTTAAGATACCTTTATCCCATTCTGAAGAAACGAGGCGCTGGTTTTATTTGCGACAGTGAAAAGCAGTCGAAGTCCCTCCGGGAATGGATCGCAGGGTGGCCAACGTGTGGGGCTGAACCAATGATTTTTAACCCAATGTTAACTTGGACCAGGGTAATTATCGTGCAGATCCATAATTCGATCGGCCCGCATCAGTTGGTTGATGCTTTCAGTGGTAACATAATGGATCAAAAGCCATTCTCCGAGCGTATGTTTAGAATTTCATTTATCTTGGCAGGATACGCTTTCCTTGCATTTTCAGGCTTGCAGCGATTGACCGAACGGGCTTGACATGAATGCTGATGGAGCTCATGTTCTGGGTGGAATGTGCTTTTACTATGCTCGATTCGGAATAAGGGTGGGATGGAACAATGCGCTGCCCCAGAGATTTTCACTGCAGTGTCTCAGAGTTCAATTCATGCCCAGATAAAATATGCTACTGACATAATGGAAGGGAAACAGTGATGCGCTGGCAGAAACTATGATCAGATATTAATTGATTTTTGTGGTGAACATCTTCAGGACGTATTTCAGTAGCATCACCGAACGTTTTGGTTTCACGAAATCTCTGCAATGCTCCGAATATTTCATGAAATCTTGTGGTATTGTTCATGTGCATGTGTTAGGAGACATCGAATTGGAATATCTGATGCTGGTTGATCTCTGAATTGCAGGTGCAAGAATTTGTGTTCACAGTCACTGTACAAGCAGTTCTGGGAGTGGAATTTCCACTGGCTTCCTACTCACCAGTGGACATGCTACGTGTGTTTGAAACCTATGCACAAGGCATGTATACCTTTGGAATCAACCTCCCATTCACCAAATTTGGCAAAGCTATGGCTGCGAGGCAACAATTGCTGGACGTTATTGACGTGGTGGGTGTCACACAAGGCATAGAGTTTCTGGCCATGCTGACTTCAAAGATCCCTAATACCAGGATGAATGTATTGCACTCACTCTGGCTCAAATGGCTGCCATCGATTTCAGAATGTTGCTCAAGATGATTGCAAATATGTAGTTGTGCACTTCACAACGTGAGTTGGCGGAGGTTGAACAGCACTACGAGCACAACTACATAACAATAGCAGCGAGTTGCTTCAACAACAAAAATTATGTCACACAAGAATGTGCATGAAAATGTCGATGAGTCGAAAGCGAACTCGGTGAAAAGCATGGATTGAGAGAATTCACAACTTCGTTTTCCTAATTTGCTTGAATGATTTCTGCAACGGCGCATGCATGACTGTAAAAAAGACGTCTCTTTGTGAAGAATAGGTGGCGGCTTGCCCCTTCTACAAACCGTTCAACACGTAATAGACCCAAAGGCGGAAGTTTGTTCCCTTTGGTGACCCCAGGTGTCAAAATTATGCATACACTACTGCCCACGGCTGTGAATTAGCAAGATTTCTGGCACAAAGTGGCCTACCCTTGTGACGTCTCTCTGCACTGTGGTCAGGTTCCTGGATACGGAGCTTGTTGGCTTTCACACTTCTTAAACTAGTGGATAATTTTCAATGTCGTGCCACTGCCCACCCATGAGAGCACATATGCAATGAGCAGCCTCTACGGCAAGTCAGCAGAAGAGCTGAGCAGCACGAATGCCCCTCGAATGGGCGACTTGTTTCTAATTCATTTCCATGCTGTGTTAGGCCATTGATCGTTTCAAGAGGAACCCAGAATTGCAGGGAGGATTACGCACGATTTTGCAGGGCCAGGATGAAAAGGGCAACAGGATGGAACACAAGCAGATCCAAGAAAATTTTCTCACGCTTCTTTTGGCGGGTTATGACACCACATCCCTGACTTTTACAACAACATTGATGAAATTGTCACAGAATCCCGAGGTACGCATACGTTGAAGTTCCAACACGCCTGTGCAACCTGCAAGGACAAGTAACATTCATATGGAAAGGGTACAAATTCTGATGTAACGTGTA